TTTTTTGGTCTAGGTGGGGCGAGAGGGAATGCCACGTACTGACTAGTGACAACGGCCGATGTCCACTCCTGCTCCCAGCCGAACTGGATATCAGCTCTAGTGGGCCCAATCTGTAGTTTCCTGGCGGCTCTTTGAGTCTCGTCTTTTGACTGTTTTCTGTGTAAGAATATCTGTTATACTATAATAGCTTTTTTTAATTATTGTTCCTATATACTTAAGACAGCTCAGTCCTTGTGTCCGAGAGTTATAACTTAAGTAGGTAATTGGTGTAAAATGAACGTAGTCTATAAAGACTCCTTACCTCAATGTCGGTTAAAGTTAAAGGAAAATGATACCTATAGAATTATTAAGCTCAAATAAATGTATACTACCGAAATGTTACAAACCGAAAACCGGTGTGAAACAACCACAACGTTGTGTTTCCCGTGTAAACGAGGTTACGGACGCCCAATCCTTCCCATTCCCCAATGCCTAATAGGTCGGCAACGCACTCGTAACTCCTCCGTTGCGGTTGTCCATGGGCGTCGCTGATTGCTTACCATCAGGTAACCCGTCTGCTCGTTTGCCTTGATTTCCAAAATTCTTTCACTGATAGATAGCTACAATATTCCTAAGTGCATCACATTACGGTACGACCTCGAGTAATCTAATAAAAAAAAAAATTATTGTTTTCCAACACGTTCCAATCACTTTGTTCGTCAACATACACAATATTATATAACATGCGATATATGTACTATCAGTGTCATAAGTGCATGGAGGATTCCAAATCAAAATCGTTTGTACGGCGTTTCATCGCCTTAATAATATACCATTGATGATATAGATGGCGCTAGTATACTAGTGGTATTGAAAAATATACATTTATAGTTTTTATCAGATACAAAGTTATTAACTTAATAATTTTTTACACAAATTAATACTACGATATTCCAAACCTTTTTAAAGCAAAGCACGCAATAACCAGGATTCGAACTCGGTAGCATAAAATTTACCGATGCTATTAGCCATTAGGCCATTGCGTAACCTTGAAATGTATTGAAATTATCCTACTCTTTATTATATTGGACTTGTTGAGCAACTATAACCCGATCATAAATCTCAAAACAGTTGAGGGTAATTTAATATTAACTGTATAAAAATTAAACCATTTTGTTCAATCATAACATTCTTTACTATCTTTGAGTGAGTTCAGTTACGATTTGTTTAATAAGTTTTTAATATTTATTTTTATCATGAGTTTGCGTTCAAATATTGATATGGCTACGAGGGCCAAATAATAGCATTGCATAATCAAAGCTTAAATTATACTGAAATTTTGAGAGAAACTGGCATAAACGTAAGTATTCTTTTAAAATGACCGTTCGTTATTAATTTTATTATCCATGGTTATCGATACATGAAAATAATAAATAATACACGTCTCTTACAGGTAAAGACTGCCACTTTATGGATATCTAAAGCTGTTTCAAGAAGAGGGTTCATTGGAGCACCGTAGTGGATCTGGCAGAAGACGTGATATTGACTCAGACCAGCTTCAACTTATGGGGCAAGGTTATGAGGAAATATACTGGAGCATTGTCATCTTCAGTGATGCAAACAGTGAAAACTACATAGATGTGCTGAAGACGTCGTGAAGATGTGCGAGTGATAACGTTCGTGCAGGACAATTGTCCTATGTGTAATGTTCCATAATTGTGCAAGTGTTTATTCAGCAATCAGACATACGGATTATTCCTTGGCCAGCGAGATAGGAGAAATAGGATCGATAAAAATGGCGGCTACACTAGTTCTTAAAAGAAAAGATATTGTTGACTATAGGATTAAGCAATTACAAGACCGGGGTAGCTATATTTTTTTTTAATGGATAAATGTTCAAACTTAGTGTTAGTAGGATAAATTATTTATTTAATATTACTATAAACAATTCGTCCCATATCTAATGAATGCTATATCCCGATCTTAGAAATGTTATTGATTTAAGGTCTAGCTTCAATTTCTTCCTTGTTCTGGAACGAATACTTAAGCTATGAGCCTTTGTCATAACATGATGCATAAAATGAATCACTTTAGTCAATACTTTAATTAAATTTTATGTGGAGGTAAAATAGTTGCAGAAGTAAGGTTGCATATTATATAGAATCGTATTATAACATTGTGTTTTAAACTAACTAATAAATGACTAGCACAATACAATTTTGATTTAAAATACTTATTAATCTTTTATAAAGTGTATTAAATAATGTGTCAGTTAGCTGAAAAGTTATTAGGTCAGGGTATACACTATATAAGAAAGAACTAAATATTATGTTTTAAGAAATAAATGTCTGAAATTATAATGTCACTAAAATAGTTTTATTTTTTATTCTTTATGAGAATTAAACTTAGTATTAGTCTTAATCTGTAAGAAAAATATGTTACTTTTACATTAATAGTTACCACATATTATAAAAGTTATTTATATATATATTTTAATTTTTTTTATTCTAAAATAATAATATTTGTTTGTATATATATTTGTTATCTTTTATAAATATTAAACGTCAAACATTTTATTTATATATTATTATTATTCATTTTATATAAAAAAAATATAAAAAACCCATTATTAAAAAACCAGAATTTAAAAATGATAACACGGAATTGAACCGGTGCCCTTCGACGTCATTATTCTATCATTCATATTCATCCGAGCTACCGATCGCATTTTTTATGAGGTCGAAAATGCGGGTTAGTTTATAACTTTTATTATTGTCTATTATTAATTATTGACGCCATCTTTTAATTGGTTTGCTTTACTTGACTTAGATGGCGCTATATTAAGTCCTCGGAAATGAGAAAATTAACATAATTTATGTGTATTTGAATATAAATATATTATTGTTTCTTAATTATTATTTTAACCATTAAAAACCTTATTGTGTGCCTCTGCAGTGTTAAGTATTCAAGCTTTGCAGGGTTATTTTCATTTTAAACCAGCGCCATCTAGTTATCAATGGTAGCGTTATGCAAAACCTGTCAGTCAATAGTCGACCTTAAGCTCTCCATGCATTTTTGTCACCCTTAGTACATAACATATATTGATAGACGTTGAGTTGATAATTTTCAGCACTATTCTTTTGTGTCCCATGGGCGTCAAATGAACAGTTGGATAACCTGGTAAGCAGAGACCGCTTTCCTGCTAACCCAGAGGGCCCAGAAGAGTACCTACAAGTGCGTTGTTTGTCTTTAGACTTTAGGGTGTAAGTGTAGGGTGTAGGGTGGATTTGGGGATGGGAGTAGTTTTGTTTCGCAAAGAAGAGCACAGGCTGATGGTTGTCTACAAAATCTGGCTTGCCCTTCTTCTAAAATACCTCCAGTTGGTAGATACGTATGCATGGCCTATTTTCGAGTCTTCATTAATATTCCTAATTAGATTTTAAAGAAGTAGATAAAAAGGCGACAAAAAACGTTGTTTTCCTCCGTATGATTGAAATTACCGGAGGCCCAACCCCTCCCCCTACCCTATCCTTATATCCCCAAAAGACCGGCAACGCACTCGTAACTTCTTTGGTGTTGCGGGTGTCCATGAGCGGCGCCGATTGCTTACCATCAGATAATCCGTCAGGTCGTTTGTCGACTTATTCCATAATAAAAACAACATCTTTAGGAAAAATTTGTATTTAAAAAATCTTAAAACTAGAATTACGACTTACACATCCCTGCTATATTAGTTTCGCACAGTGGTAAACTTGATACGTCTGTGTTGTTTTAGAAGAAACATAGAGAATGTATCATGCGATAGTCTTGGATAAAAAAACATGTATCTAATTATTTTTACATTTCTTACAAGTTTATAAAGACATTTCAATTTCATTAAGAGCCAGCAGACTTCAGAGTGCCTAGTAAGAATTACTTTTCCCTCTTAGGTATTTGTTGAATACTAGGAGTACGCGAATCAGAGTGGCGAATGTCATACACGTGTTGATCGTGCTTACGCAAAATAAACTGGGACTAGGCAGTCAGATATACACTGTTGGTGTCAATATGGTGGAAATTGCATTGCACTTGCGCCAAACGTGTAGTCGTAAACTTAGGACTATTTATCCAATCTACAAGTAGGTACTATACGAGAAAAAAGCGACATAGGAATGTTATCGAAAACAATACCTAAGAATTGTAGTTAACCCGTTGAAATCCACGGGGGACAACATGTGGGCCATGCTAGCGGAGGATTTACCCTCAACAGCAATCTGTTGGCAGTCAATGGCTTAATCTAAGCCAGGTGGTTTTTACCACTGTAATTATGACCAAAATTGGCTAGCATTCAGCGATCACTTAAATACACTGCGCACACATTAATATCTTACAGATTAAAACGGACAGCATTATGTTTCATGGAAACACTACACAATTATTACATATAGGTATAATATATATTTTTTTTGCATAAGGAATAATGAATTATCATAAAAGACTAATACTTAAAATACTACAATTATCTGAAAAATACAAAACTGGAAAGCCGATAAGGCTTTTGAATATGCAAACCGCATTTTGTGATTGTAAATAAAACAGTGACGGTCTTATATTCTAAGTAGAGTTATTTAAGCAGATTCACTATAGGTACATATAAGTACTCTATACTTTTCTATATCCTAAAAGAATAGAATACTTATAGGTAAACTTGGACTAACTTTTAGTGAGAAATAAAAATGGCGCCCTTCTAGACAAACACTTGGCTTACGGGTGTAACTTTTCTGTTCGTCTGGTGCAGTTGCACCGGCCTCGGACCGGCCCTGACATTATACGACGACATTCAATTACTGGATATAATACAATCATAAAGAAATTCATAAAATTTTCTATGAGTATCTCTGAGTCGATTATATAAAAAAAAATGCAAGATAAGACAACCATTTTGTCCTCACAATTAATTATATTTTGTTTCGACTTAATCTACTTATCACAAGTTGTGAAAGATTTTGATTTCTGCAAACTCTTGCGAACGTGCGCCGTGAGACTCCGGAGAGTTAATAATTATCAATTGAGGAAAAATAGGTATGAATTAACAATTATCTTGCTTTTCATTCGATTTCTTCGAATTCATTTACCTCCTTACAACCAGAAAAATCACATCCCATGTATTTGTTCTCCTTGACGGCTTGAGTTATGACTTTATTCCATTGTGGATCCTGTGACAACAAATGGGGATCGCAAACCAAGAGCACTGCTACTTGTGCTCGCGTTAGCGCAACATTTAACCTCTTAGGATTCTGCACAAAGCCCAATGAGTGTTGGAGATCTTCTTCTATCAGCATACTAGATGATCTTACTGTAGATATTATTATAAACAACCTTTCTTGACCCTGAAACTCTTCAACGGTGCCGATTTTAGGACGTTCCAACTTCATATGGTCAAACAAGCGCCGCAGATGTCGTATCTGAAATAAATTGTATTATAATTAGAATACATATTTTGAAATACTAAGTTTAGATGTAGTAAACGGTTGAATTGTTAAAAATAAGTTTTAATAAAGGTTTCTTTACTTGTGAGGCAGTGAATCTAATTCACTGATTAATAATAATAAACAATTACAAATTAATACCTGTGCTATGTAAGGTGCAATAATTCCTATTTCATCTGGTGTTACATTATTCTTATACAGTTTACAAACTGTCAATGCGACCATAGAAGCTTCCTCAGGATTATACCAGGAAGGACTGTCTACGGCACGTGCATTATTTCCTTTAACGCCATGCACGTATATCCCTCCGGACTTAGAATCTTCAGGCATTTCAAATATTTCTGACACAATATCAATGATTTTTGTAACGTCTGGAGCACTCCGATCAACTCTCGACACCAAAGAAGCATCATAAAACATTTCACTGGGCAATTTTATGACTTCTTGCAAAGATCTGTAGTTTTCAGACAGTCGAGTTACCAGTTTTTCATTGAATCCGTTTTCGAAGGCATCATAGTCCTTTTGATATGGAAATGTTTCAAGCAGTCTGGACAAATATGATTTATCCATTCCAAATTCTTTACAATAACCAGACAAAACTATTGGCCCAAGTTGCATTGGGTCACCAGACAGAATAATTTGTCCACTATCTTTGTTTATGAAGGTCATGGGAATCATTATTTCTGGTTCTATAGCTTGCCCTGCCTCGTCTACTATTACGTGTGTATAATGCCCTTTATGTAATTCCATTAGCGCAAGCGTCCCGAGGCAATTGCAGGTCCCAATAGTAACTCGATATCGCCCTACATAGGATGAGGGTACATTCATATTGATGCCGCTTTGAACAACGGCATGATTTGACCTTGACGTATTTTCTCTAGCTATGTTCACAACTGCACAGTATGGTTTGACTACATCTGGAATATTTTCAGAATCTACCATATAGTTTGCAATGAGTCTGATGATGGAACTTGAAAACAATTTTCTGTATTGTAACAGTCTTTCTGTAATCAGATTTGCAGCACTGTTTGATGGTGTTGCCACTAAAATTCTGCTGTCAGGTATAAGCGTGATGATCTGAAGTAAGGTTTCCACAACAGTGACAGTTTTACCAGTCCCTGGCGGGCCATATATGCAATAGGGCATTGGACGACATTCTCCTATCAAGATGTTCGTTACCGCCTTTTTTTGGTAATAATTCAAGTTTTTATTGAACCATTGCAAATTATTAACTTTGTCTAAAGGTACCTGAGGTGGGCGGCACAATAGACGGGAGGGGAATAACACATCTGTTCCCAATGTAGAGAGCACCTTGCTGACGGCATGATGTAATTTTCTGTATGATGATCTACTAAGACAAAATTCTACAGAAACGTCACTTCCTCTGTAAGTTTCATGAAACCTAGGGTTAAACTTAAATAGTACTTGATCACCTCGAATGACATGGATAAAGCCTTCATATGTATAAGATTTCTCATCCCAAATATCAGTAACCATAACTTTGTCACCAACTATTAGGGAGGGCCGTCTTTCAGCCAACTTCTTAATTTCAAGGCAGAGGTATTCCTGACATTTAACCAAAAAAGTTGATGGTAAGTTGAAATTCCTTATATTTATTGTTGCTTTAATTTCTTCCATGTACAACAATGTGTGCCATTTGTCTACATAATTTGAAACATTTAAATTTTGAATGAGACAAGGAAAATTGTATTCAATTCTTTGTAATATTTCTTTCCTGGTTGATTTATTGTCATAGTCGCCAATAACCGCAGACTCCACTTTTTCTGGTATACTATATTGTCCCATTCTCACAGTTCTAAAGTTAGGATTCTTAGATAGCCGCACTCCAGGTATGTAATTACCGTCCCCTCTTTTGAATCCAATCTTCAAGTCATTGACATCATATCCTTTTTTAAAAGTAAAGCTGGCATCTTCATTTGAAGTGAGTTCACTTAAAACATTTATTTCAATCAATCTTTCCACTTTGAACCCTCTGAAAGTTATGATCAGATGTTCTTTGGATTTGCCGTAAAATTTAGGATGGCAATCGATTGTTAAAATGAATGGTTTATTTGGGTATAGTTTTGTATATTTAGGCAATATAGGATTCACAGTTACTTGCGAATCTCTTTTTTTGCAAAGTAGCATCCATTTAAACATTATGACTGGCTGGTTATTTTTGTTTGTAATGGATAATGTTATTTGGGGCCTCTCATGGAATTGGACATTTTCAAACTTTAAAGGATAAGTCACCTCTATGTTATTATTTGTTTCAATCTCCATGCTTCTTTTTTCTATGTCTTCAACTTCAGAAGGTTCTTGTACAACTTTTGCTTTGTCAGTTATTTCCATTTTTAGAACTCTCCATGAGCAGGAGCATTGATTACTCTCTATAGCTTCAACATAAACCTGTGGAAAGAAAGTTCAACAATTAAAACCAGTATAAATGAAATATGCATAGTTAAATTATAATACATGAAGTAAGTCAAAGTTAAAATAATTTATTTTAATTAGATCCTTACAGGCACTTTTGAAAGTCAAACATTTTTTTAAGGTATAAAATGTCAGTCTGTCTGTCAGTCCTTTTAGTGAAGCTATTTGGTCATTCCAAAGTGTAAATTCCGATGGAGAAGAAAAGCAAGAAGGTTGATCTGAAGGTTACTCTTTTTAGTTTTTAAAAATTAAAATTACCTTGGCCCCAACATGTGGATCACCACCATTGATGATACATGTTGCCACATTAAAATAAATTTGGTTGTGACAAATTCCCTCTTTCCCGTTCCATTGTTTTATTTCCGAAGACATCATTTTTTTTCTCAATGGTCTGAATGAAATTACTTCTACAACCTAAAAAAATTACAATGTAAAAATGAGTTAATTTATAATGAGACTTCTAGTAATATAATTTTTCAATTTAACTGCTGTACTTAGTGTTATTTTATGGTTACTTATAACACTTATAATCAGTTTTTAGAACAAAATTGTTTCTAACTAAAATGTAAGACCCAATGCAGTACAAAATGTAATTAAACCTAGCCGGAAGTTCCATTTCAAACATACTCAGTACAAAATAAACTAACAATATTTCCCTTTTAGTATGTTGTGCTAGGAAACATGTGAATTATAGTAAATTTTGATTTTTAGTTGAGTTTTAGTTGAGTTCTATTTTTGGTTACTTTGACATACTCTACCAATAGGGCTACTAATACATATTTTGGTCAACATATATATGTATTAGTAGCCCTCTTGGTAGAGAACTGAGACTATTATTTACTTTTATGCGTCTACATAAAGCAATAAAAATAAAAAAGTGACTTGTGTTATACTAAAAAACACTAGACCTTTGTATACCGCATACATGTACTTTTTATATTGCAAACAAAATATATTCAACTTACCTGGTTAGTAGAGATATCAGTGGGGTTCTCTTCATCATATTTAACTTTGCACATAAGTTCTAAGAAATCACCCTGGACTGGCACAAAAGTGGCAACTACTTTGTCAAGACTGAATGTTAGATCACTCTCTTTTATGATTACCAGGCGATCTTTTCTATATTCAACCTCGCCAACAATTACATGTTCTATGACTGGAAAACCACGCTCATCGACATCTACTTCAAAGTCCCCCCAATGTTCACCTTGGTTTTGTAGTATTCGGACAACAACAATTGATTCTTCCGCATCCTTGTAGCACAAATACACAACTTTGTCATTAAGTTGAAGGTGGATTGAGCATCCCTCGGTATTAAAGTAGAACATCCCGTCAATAAGCACATAGCTTCCATTGTCACTAATGTAATTGATTACACCTGAAAAAATAATAGTTTATTAATATATTGCAATATACGCAACAGTAACAGTAAAATTAAGGTAGAAAATATCCAGTTGGTATTGTGATTAGATTGAAACAAAATGTAGGGTACTCTGTTTAAGACAACTATTTTGAAAAATTTTCCACATCCAAAGCACAAAAAAATTAAATGTGCTTTATTGACAGATTAAATAAAGCAAGTCATTGTTTCTAACTCTTCTTACATGGAAGTATTCAGAACAAGGGTGGCAGCCAGCTTATGGCTGAGAGGCTATTTTACAATTCTTATAATACAGGTTTTTTTATGTAGTAGGTCGGCAAACGAGCTGACAGATTACCTGATGGTAAGCAATCAGCGACGCAAGCCAGCGGGGAGTTATGAGTGCGTTGCCGACCATTTAGGGATTAGTGATTTGGCGATTTAAGGACTGGGGATGGATTGGGAAAGGGGAAGGATTGGGCCTCCGGTAACCTCACTCACACGGCGAAACACAATGTTGTAGTTGTTTCACGCCAGTGAGTGAGGCCGTGAATCGCTCCGGTCCAGCCGACCCATTCGTGCCGAAGCATGGCTCTCCCACACTAAAATTCATTTGGGATTGCTCACTTTGGGCAATTAAACGTTTGTTTATACTTATGTATAGTTTTCACATAAAGTGTAATATAACGAATCAGTAGGTACATGTTATACTGAGCGGTTACGTAGCAAATACCCTCTTCTAGTAGATAGATTCTGTTTTCAGATTTGGATTTATTCTTTTCTCTTTTTAATGGCATATGTTGGCACACAAGCAGGCGGATCACGTGATGGTAAGCATTCGGCCGCCCATGGACATTCGCAACACCAAAGGTACCTATTATTAGAGGGTTGCCAGGCTTTTGTGGGTTATGGAACTTGAGGAAAGATGGAGGATAGGTTAGGGATGTCATTTGAGGATTGAGTATGAGGCCCCTTAATTAATCCCTAACTACCCTGGATTCCCTGGGATAGAGATCTGGTAACACAGAGAAATACAACAGGCTGGCTATTAAAATAGTATAGTAATAGTATTTTCCATGATCATTATATCAGTGATGGTCTGTTATGTTAAAATGAAATACGATAAGTACAATATAAGAAATACTAAATAAAACTTACCTGTCCTTTGGAAACAATCCCTAAGATTATGAATAGGCTCTATTTTTTGGACATTACTTTTATCGTCTATGTCTAATTTTGCTAGCTCTTCAGCTAAATAAACTTCCATTTGCTGATCATATTCTTCAAATGAAGATTGGGCAAAGAAATAATTGTAAACTGACTTGAGGAATGAGAAAACCATCTTGTATGTTTTTTTTGTGGTTTTTTATAAACTTATCAATACTCTACTATTATATGTATATGTTACTGAACAAATCCTTTGTCATATTCAAATTCCCATTCTGTCGCTTTTAGATACTCAAGTTCAGTTCTCAAAGCTTGAATTCGTTTTTGGTGCATTTCCTTTTGAGCACTTTTCATAGATTGTTCAATACTTAGTCCAAGATCAGCATGGTTCAGAGATTGATCGAATGAGTTCTGAATTCTGCTTTGTGCAGTACTCTGAAATAAGGATAACAAACTTGATTTTAGATTATATGGATAATAAAAAAGAAAAATTGAAAGTCATCACATTATTAATTAAGCTTATACTCATTACTCAATACACAATGTGGTGAATTTTGTGCACCCAACAAATAAATGTTGTTTATAAGTTAATGCTGTCTAAGAGTATAGCCCCTAGACTAGTTAGTCTAGTTCCTCATCAAACACTTGCAAGAGCAAAAAGTTAAACAATATAATTAAAATTAATGTGTTTCACAAAAGTTATAATTAAAAATCTATGTTATTAAACTATTGTTTTCACCATTACACACCACAACTGACCTTTTCCTACCGCTTATTTAGGTTGAGATACAACTGAGTTTTAAAAGAGAGGTTGCCCATTGAATATATAGGAATTATATGCTTCTAATTATCTTGTAACCCCAGGCATTAAAATAATTATTGGAAATTATATTTTTGGCGTACAATAAAGAGTAGATAAATAATTAAAAAATTACTATAATATTGGACAGCCAAATTGACAACATTTTGTAATTATAAAAGCATTATTTAATTAATGTTGTACTGTTTATGCATATTAACTAAAACATAATATATATCTATAAAAAATATCCAGTACGTTAAAAATCGAATTCCTGACACTTTACCCACATGTTGTTTAATTTGTGCTAAGAAAAATAGTTATCACGCGAAGACCATAGTTTTATTCAATACATGTAGAAAAATAATGTTTATAATTAAGATAATAGAATAGATATAATTAACACCAATAAAATTAACGAGGTGTTTTGTGAGTAAACATACATCTAAGACTGGCCAAAGCGATTGGCTACCGGCAACGAGTTATCTTCGAGTATCATTTATTGATTATTGGCGGTTCCCATTCAGAGGAGCGAAGGGTTTTGACATCCCTCTCCCTCTCTAAACAAAGGGATATTACAAACAAGCCGAAAATCACTTACTTGGGGAGTTTCTGGTTCTGATGGGGAATAAGTCGACTGTGAAATATTACTTGATGTAGACATTATTAGATATTAATCAGAGCAAGGGACACTGCATTTTAAGTAAATTCCACTGAATACTTAAGTTAACTCGCGAGAACTAAACCAATATTACTTTCAGTACAATCTACAAGAAATATGAAAACACGACCTCCGATTTTTATATCGATTTTTTTTTTTTTTTTTTGGAGTTTATGGCCTGGATACGAGATTTTTATATCGATTTTGACATTATCAACAGATGATATAAAAACATGCAAAATGTATACACAGACAACAAAAAAATTAATAGGTATAAAAACCTGCTTTTTAACAACGGAACGATATATGCTTGAGACCATAATTATTATTTTTAAGTAATTTACTTTAGGTATTAATTTAGCATGAAATTACCGTATAATGTTAAACAATCTTAGACCATTGGAAAGTAGATTTAATTCCTCCTGTCCTCCAACTCATATTAAGGGGAATTTGGTTTCTGTAGAATTTGACATTTGACATTGATAGATAGCAGAACATCAAGTTGACATGTTCAATTATATTTGTTTGGTTTAATTTGGTATTTTGAATACAAAATTGTTACATATTTATTAACATTTTAATATTTAACGTTTATCTAAACCAGAACCTCGATAATACAATGACTGCCAAAAGGATTGTATTTAAGCAAGACAAAGATGACGAAGAATACGAATATTTAGGAACTCAATGTTTTCAAATCAATCCTAATGTTGAAGAGAAAGAAATTCCAACGAATGGTGAGGAGTATCTTTTAAAAGTGGTGAAGGAACGTGCGAAATATGCTACAGTAACTAAGTGTAATTTAGATATATCAGAAATAAATAAAAAGCGCTGCAATACTGTAAATGAGGTGAGTTTGTAGAGTTGTTTCTTGTTTAAGCCTTGTATGTGTTAATCCTCCAAAATTTCATTAAGGTTGATTAATATTTCCTATTGACCTAAAATATTTTATTGCAGCATGTCAATCCTGTGCGACCGGAACTATTAAAACCAACAATAGAATGGCAAAACATTCAAATAGCAGATTTCTCAGACCTTCACATGTACGTCATTCGAATGGCTGCTAGAAAAAAAAAGTTGCTGCCTTCAATATTCGAAGAAACATATAAAGACTTTTTGAAGGATGGTGATATAATGTGGGAGAAAGTGTTTGAGAGTACAGAGCCTACATTGTCACATGTTGTTGGATTATCTCATAGTGCAATTGAAAGTGGATTAGATGCTATACTAAAAATTCTTACACAAGTGCAAACAGGGCAGTCTATTGACCGTAGAACAGGTAATCTAATCTAATGTCATTAAGGGTGTAATTGAACTTAAATTCTTCTGTCAGACTTTTGACCTTTCAAAGAAATTGCCTAAGCATATAAAAGTTCACATACATCATATACCAATAAACTGACTCTTATTATTAATAATAATAGTTGGAAGTTTGAATTCTTCATAAAATTTGCCTTTATCATTGATTGTTATTAAATACAGATATTATGCCCTAAAAGATAAAATATCCAAATAAAACAAAATATCAAAAATAAGAATATTTAAAAACAAAAATAAGGACCAGTTTGCAGCAGGGATATGGTCCAAGCTACCTGTAGTTAGGGCTTCAAGGATACAAACCTCTGTATTTACTATTTCAAGGAGGACTGCCTTCTGTATCAGGCCCTTAATTCATTATAATTATTTTATTAAATCTGCTTGCAGGACTATGGCTCCATGCACTCCTCACCGTCACAAGGCATCCACCACAGTCAGATGACAGTTTTCTACTAAGGAAGATTTGCAGAAGATGTGCTGAAATAAGGTACAATAAAACTACAAACTTGTTTCTCACTTTTAATTTTTTTTTATTTAACATTGTTATATTTTATGGTATCAGTACAATTGTACATATGTTTCTTGCTCTTTGGCTTCAAATATTAACCATTTTATTCTAAAGTTAGTTCCATTTTTAATAGGGTCATAGAACAGAATAGATATGTATAAACAGATGTTGGGAAGTTAAACATAAAAATACATACTCCAGGAACAAATATGTAGTTTAATACATTAGATGATTTTGCAGCATGTAGTATGCAGTACTTCCCTCCCACTTACAAATGTTAAAACACACTTACAACTTGTAAATAAATCACCTAAACCAGTGTTTCTAGTCAAAAGTGTTTCTTCACCGTTATTGACTGTCGACTTTTTCTTCCAGAATTAGTTGAATTTGCATTTCTGTAAAGTAACACATGATTCTCTTCAATAAGTAGATTGTAAAATTGTTCTAATATCTGTAGCAATACAGCTTAAATCCTGTTCACCCAACCTCCTGCACCCTCATCTAAAAATTACTATAAAGCCTATTAGGCTTCACAACTTTTTGTTTATTTTTCAGGGCCAGTATTGAACAAAATGATGAAAATGCAAGAGAATTGGCAACACCATTGAATATTTTTATATGTATCATAGCAAAGTATTTTGGACAACACGACTTGGGTGACTATGAACTAGATGATTCTAAAGTAGCTCAAATTTATTATGACTCAAAAGTAGCACAGATATACTATTAACATGTGTTTTTTTAACTACCTGATGCTCTTACGGAGATGTAATCTTAAACAAACATGAGACTGATTGCCAATGTAAGTAAGACTTAGTTTATTTTAAGTAAAGAGAATTATCCGATTTTTTAATAGTCAGATAAATGTTATCTGTTATCTGAGGAATAAAATTGTTGCTGTCACTGTCTTATACAAACATTCTGATGCGACAGCATTATAATTATATCCCACATAACTTTTATCTAACCATTGAAAAATCAGCCCTCAATCGAAAATTATTCTGTTGTTTATTTACTTTACACATTGGCATGTGACACTTATAAAATATTGAAAGATTATCCTCTTGTCTGCCGGTTTATGACAAAGAATAGAAAACACATTGTGTCTCCCGTGGTTCTTCGCTCACACGTCACAGGTTAGTAATATACCATGGATGTTCAGTATCCATGAGGTTACGGGTTGAATATACGGCGACCCGACCTGAAGGAAAAATTGGGTATTTCTTATCAGTTAGAGTACAACAAAAAAGTATTCAGGTACAATTTTTTGTTACATCTATTGAATTCTTTAGTAAATCCATTTGTGCCTATTTAATTGTTGAATCTAAGAACAATACAGTTGAATATAAATTGAATTTAATAGTTGTGCTTTTTTTTATTATACAGTAGATACAGACTATGTGCCTTTATTATTATATTTATAGTATTGATTCGCAATAATTTGCTTTAAGAAGTAGGTACTATGATCACTTCCTAAGAATCGAATTGTCTTAAGTATCACTTTTATTAATTAAATGAATATTTTTATGTCGTGGCTAACAATATACTACATTTATATTATTTTATTTTATGTGTTATTCACGTGTACCTTCATCCCAATTTTCTAAAGGTATTGCGTAAGAGCCCATGCGGGTGCTGGGTGCCTGGGTGATTCTATGGATAAATTTACCCAAAGTTGCTATGCCTATGCCTATGTCTCAAACACAAATTTTGAAAAATTTAGCTCTCAAGCAATTAGAAAAAAGTATTTACTATGAAATACCAATGTGCTTCTCGAATCGGGGGTCAATTTTATTATTTGTTAAAATAAAATTTAGATTTCTCAATGATCCGACTTCATTCGATAGACTGGACAGGACAGTAGTGTTCTCTGATAAGCGTGATTTTTTTCATTTGCGTTTTTTGATGTGATCGGTCTTCAAAATAGCGAACGGAATACCTGATGGTAAGCAATCTACGCCGTCTATGGACATCTACAATACCACAGGAGTTACGAGTGAGTTGCCGGCCTTTTGGGGATTTGGTTTAGAATATTAATGGATTGAGGAGGGATGGAGAAAGAGTAAGAATTGAGTGGAACAACGCTGTGGTTGTTTCACGCCGCCCGGTTTTCTGTGAGGTTGCGAATTGTGGCTCTCCCTTACTTATTTGGCAAGGTTGCGATCTTTAACCGCCGTGCTAATTGCGGACACTATGGCAAACATTCTGATTTATTAGATGCCCATAGTACCTACAGCATTCACATCTTTTGATAATAATTATCATTATTATTTCACAATGCCTGAATATCATAACTTCGAATATGGGACGTAGGTACTTTGTTAGAACCATGTGCCACTGACCTTATCGATAAAGGTGGTAAAACTGACCCATTGTTTTAAAAACTATAAGATTCTTTGCTTTACAAAATAAGGTATCAAATGAAACGTACACAAATATATTTATGATTATTATATTTAAACAATCAAATATTACAATAATAAATTTATGATATGTACCTATCTATGATAAAATAATAAGCCTTTTCAAACAATTAGAAAATGACGTCTACATAATTATAATAATTGAATTACTAAGAAAACAGATTGATTTATCACTCGTTAAAACGCGAGCGAACATGGATAATACATAATTTTTCTAGCAAGTATAATTTGTAAAACAAGATTAATAAATAACAGTGTTTGCAATATGGTCGAGTAAATTAATTAGAATTGTTTAAATTGAAATTATACAAAATAGAAATTAATACTAATTGTGTACTCAAACTCGACAAATATGCGTGTATCCGCACAGTGAAATAAATATTTGGCATGATTTATTTTCGCACCGCGTCGCGAAGCCTCACAATTTAAAACGAAATCATCTAATATTTAATGCGATGTTCGATGTTCAGATATTAAACGCAAATTTTGTTTCGCTGTGCAGACTGGTTTTAAGAGTTTTTATTTCGCTAGCAGTAATCATGTTAAATAAGATCTCAAAATTATTTCACCATGCTAAAAAGTCAGGTGTGTAAGACTTAATACGCTAGTGGCGCCATCTTTTCAATAACAAACTCTTATTACAGACAGTTGAAAGATGTTACAAGATATTGCCTATTGCATAACTAGGTATAGTGAATTAAAGTACACATTAGAGTATTTTTTCTGTACATATACTAGTTACAGGTTATTTTACAATCTTGTTTTACATTTTTCTAAAGCAAATAAAATAAAATAACGAAATCAGTAAATACATGCTTGCTTTATAACTAAAAGTTTATCGCAACAATAAAAAAATAAAGAACTAATTATAATCACTGGAAATATTTTGTGCCAATTCAAAGTCTTGAGGTTGTAGAAAAAATAGATAGAAATATATATGCTGTAACGAAAAAGAATCATAATTTTATTAGATATTAACAAACGATGGCTCAGTCTAACAAGTTAAGTTAATTGTAAAAGGTGTTTGACACAGCTTAGTAAATATCGTCATTTTTCCAGTTAATACAGCATTAAATAAATTTTCACATTCATCTTATCTATGTCAAATCCCTCAACAATTTCCCAAACCAAAAGGGTGTCAAAACAATTTTAATAAAAAAAAAACTATCACAGTAGACAGATCTTCAAGAGTGCACGTTTCTACTTTTAAAATACTTAGTTAATAAAATTTTATTGCACGATATTACAAAATTCATCGATATCGATAGTACGTCCAATTTATTATTTTCTAATTCTATTGACCAAGAAATTGTCACCAAGTTTTTAGATATCTATAGTAGGTAATATTTGTCGTAACCGTCTACGCCTAGGTTTCTACCGTTCTAAATCTAGTGTATCTACACGATTCACGTATCGAAATATAATTAAACGTAGGTAGGAAAATCTATTGATTCAGAAATACCTAATTTTATCTTTGGATTTCTCAGTTTAGGTATCCACTAGATTTGAGCGTTGTAAAATTAAAAGGAAAATACAGAGAAATTAAAGTCAGGTACAGAATTCATTTCGAACAGATTAAGCAAGATTTTTTGTTAACCTAAGTGAAAGCGTTTAATGTGCAACTACTAATAAATGGCACATTCAAAGATAGATAGTTTACGATTGAAGTAGTATAAGATACGGTTGGATGAGGCCCATGACACATTGATTTCATGATAGAGCACTTTGCATCACTAAAGAAAATATACAGAACATGATTTGATACGCGGCTTTTTGACTCAAACAGTCTGTGTAATAAAAACGTTTTATAAACCACTTTTAAATATGATTGCTTTATGGCTATTTGATAGCAACTTAAATTTATATTCAGTAACGAATTTATTTTAAATAACAGTGCTCTCATGCAGAAATGAAATAAAATACGACATGCAAAAGTAGTTTCATGCATTCATACTATATACAGTAAAATCCTTTGAAGCTTCACTCGTCATCATTGAGAAGGTCTGTGCACGATTTGGCTTTGGTAGATCTGAAAAAAAAAACAAAGCATTGTTATACTGATGGAATTAGATCGGTAGAGATTAGGAGGGATGTTGAATTTATTAAAGGATTTTAATCATCTATCTGACCTCTGACCAGCTATTACTATTGTAGTAAAAGGCGATCCTCTGTCCACACTGAACTCGACGTTATTAAGTGAGATATTTTATACCAAATCAGGGGTGATGTTTAAGAAACCGGATTCGGATTAATTTTTGTAATTTTATGCAACTTACTGTGGATTTTTAACTCGTCTGCAAACCCTAAGTTCAATGGGTCCACTGCGCACTGACTTGAAGAGTGCAAGCGCTTCAACATGCGCAAGCTCATGACATGCTTGTCCATTCACCGCCAGTACCTCATCTCCTGTAAATAAACGAATAAGTTGAAGATAATATTTTTATTTATAAGTACATTAACTATGCATGTAGGTATAGATACTCTTTTGGGTATTTCCCCAAACATATGCCGTTTATTAGTGCCGTTTTATTTTACCTGTAGGTAAGCAAATATTTACCTCAGGAGGGGAAAATCCTCGTGCAGGTCAACGCTTTATTTTAGGGGAAACAAAACGAACAGGTATGTCGTCCGAGGGATTTACATTGCTGTTCGAATCGTTTGATTGGGTAGCTACATTTTACCGCGTAGCAATACCCTTTTGGACAATTTGGACCATACGGTTCTTTATTAGTGATCGATGACCATACGTCATAAACTCACGCTCGGATAATATAATACGTTGTTAAGCATGGGATATTATTGATTATAATCTATAGCTAAAGTTTGCGATGTAGGTATATTCGTAACAATAGACATATATGGATTGTTGTAGGTCCAATGTCCATATATCTACCTAGCTACTAACTTCTAGTTGACCGATAAGCCCTGATAAATATATTGACTGTCTTAGTAAGTACTTAGATATTAATTTTGTCTACATTTTTATTTAAGTAATTTATCTGGTTGATAGTGGTTATCTAGAGAATGTGAAACCGGCCTGCAAGGCGTGTAGGCAGGCACTCAAAATTCTTAACTGGTGTTGTATGGCAAGCTGATGTTAAGTACAATATTTAAGTAGGTCCCCAATCCCCATAAAGTATGAATAATGTTATGTGAGTAAAGAAACAAAGCACCAATATTTCATTTGTTACCTACAGACTTCACTGTCGTTTAAAATGCTTTATTTCTAGCACTCATTTATAGTATTGCTTGTATTGCCTGTAATGTTCTATTGAAATTAAAATGACATTGAAACCAATTTATTTTCTGCGTTCTTATAAATTAGATTTTTAAATATATGCGTTTATGTGTTAATAATGCACATTTAATTGTACATAAAGGTCAAAGTTTAACATTTTATTCCACAGTGTCTGATAACATTTGACTCGTCATGTCAATATTGTAGGAATATCACAAATCGTTATTGACATAAACATTGGTATCTTATTACGCTACTGTTCGGGTTACAATAGCCAGACTAGTTGATATTATGTTATTTGTTATTATGCCGCTTCGGCGAACTACCACGCGGCTTCCTATTCTTATCATGTTGCATTCCTGAATGCTATTAAATTATCGCAGTTCGTGACTATTTATCAGTTATATTAATATTATTTTTTTGCAAAATATAATTTAAATGCACTCCACGTACCTGCTTTTAGCCTTCCATCATCAATGGCTTGTCCTGAAGGTAAGATGCTTTTGATGAATATGCCCAAGGGCCCCCTGGGTGAGTCGCGCCCTCCAACAATAGTGAAGCCGAGGGGTTTCTTTCCATGGCCCTTCTCGAACGTGATCGTATGGTAGGTGTGCGTCGGCGCCCTTGGTCTCCGTGGTAACGTACAAAAGTTAGCTGCATTTGGTGTTTGTGTTTCACTCTCACTGTCGTCTTTACTTTTTGTCCGTTCAACACCGTCCGGCGTATCGACGTTAACGACGTCGACGGCACAACTGAGCGCGAGCGCATCTTTATTGGCGCCACCGTAGCTCACGACCTGCCGGCGCAGCAGCTTGTTGTTCATGCTGCTGTAGCTTGCGTTCTGACCCTTGAGGAAGTGTGAGTGTGCCGCCGCAGCGCTGTCGGTCGACTCGTCCGCC